TGCTTTTGAGATTTTATTATTTAATACTTGAAAGTAATTTTAAATCAGTAATTCGCTTCCGAAACTCCGTTTTGTGACCGAAGAAGCAGATACGAAAAGAATTTTGTAACCACCGAAAAAACGATGTTTATTAAAAATGAATTATTGTTAAGCTTTGATTCCAAACAGTAAATACTAATTGATTTCGGCGTATTCAAACGAAAACGGAGAAAAAAAGCCTTATCAAACGAGGCCTAAGAGCCTTCAACACTGTCTTATATACGCACAAATCATAGGCCCAATTTCTCATTCAAGAGATCTAATATTCTAGTCCAAGGTATAAAAATTACAATGTTAAACAACAAATCTAATTCCAATGCGCAATAATTGAGTAGATAAAAGCTATACAATAATTGGTGATGGGTTTCCTCTTTTAAATAAGGGTTCTTTCTGGCTGTTGGAAGCAAATGAGCTTAGCATATTTTGTTTTCATACCCCAAAAGAGTTATCAACAATTTATAGTATGAAATGCCAAACGTTATAAAAGACTTGTAAATCGGCAATATCCTTGCTCCAATCAAGAAGCCTCAACCCCTCTAACCCTTAGCCTAATGGCTCACCACTGCAATCAAAATGAAATCACCATACAGCCATTGTCTCCTACCCTCCAATCAAATGTGCAACCCCCATTGTCACGGACTGAATCCTACAATTGCCGCTAAAGCCTTGGCTCCTCCCTTGCTACTCAGCAAGATATGAATAAATTGTCATAATTATTTAGCATGAGAGGTTTACGACTTCTCTTTATCAAAAAATGGGTGGACATAGGTTTGATGATAAGTGTTATCTTTATCCTATTTGTGTGTACACTAGTGTTTAGGGTGCTGGCCACTATTTTGCCGAATCACATAAATCATGTCGATCTTCTTATTGTGTTTTCTCTCTTTGTTATTACAACATATGTTTATCATTTGTTTTTAATAGGTGTTTCAAAATGAATAAGTAGGCCTAAAACTTTAGAGTGAGAAAATCCCTTCTTTTTTTTCAAATTTTCCTCTTTCCGCTTTTTTGGGGAAGATTCGCCCATGTCACCTGAGGTAGCTTCGTCTGCTTCCCATACCCTAGTTGGGTCTAATATTTGTAGTCAAGAAGGTGTTTTCATCCATCATAGAAAGGAGTTGAAGGAGGCTCCTTCAGTGATCAAAGAGGCTTCATCTGTTTTAAAGAAGGCTATTTCTCTTGTTGTCGCCAAAGCCAAAGCAGTTGATAATGGATTAGTGTTGAAAACTCCTCGTCCCTCTGGTGGAATATATCTTTTGAATATACTTAATGACTTCGAAGCATCATCTTCTTTAGGGATGAAGATTTATGTAAATAAATTTAGTAATTTAAATACTAAATATGATATTCCGTGTAAGGAGTCATCTGTTAAGGTGAACTGTGATAATGCTTCAGGCGTTTGTCTTAATGCCCCGGAAGTGAAGATTGATTCGAATACGATAGAAGACTTTTTGGCCGATTATGATGGATTGCCTATGAATCCATGGTCTAAAAGCCTGAATATAAAGGTTAATTTTTCCAAAGATGAATCCTTTCTTTCAGAAGATGGAATGGCAGTCAAATTGCATAAGCCAAGTGTAACTGCTAATTCGGTAAAGCTACAGTTTTCTGTAGTTGTTAAAGTTTTTGAGAAAGATATTCCAGTTCAGATGATTGTTAAGGAGTTACGTCGTCAATGGATGCAATTTGGGAAGTTCCACCTTACAATCCTTGGATTAGGTTGGGTGTTACGCTCGTTTTATTCGTTAGAAGCCATGGATAATGTATTATCAGGAGGTCCTTGGTATGTGAATGGGCATATAAGTGGACTCCTAAATTTCCACCTAGTTCATTGAAAGGCTTGTCATCTCCAATTTGGGTAAGGATGCCACATCATCCTTTGTAATGTTGGGATGAGATAAATGTGACAAGAATTGCATCTTTGGAAGGAATACTCTTATTGATTGATGGTATTATGTTTCAATGGGGAAGAAGAGAAAATGCAAGAGTTTGTGTTCGTGTTATGTTAGACAAACAATTTCCTTTGGGTGTTTGGGTGGAAGGCTCATCAAAATTTCTACATTTCATTTTGAATGTGAAAAAATTGGCCATTTGGTTAATGAGTGTAATCTGAAAGAGCATATTTTTTTTGTGATGGTGATGTAACCAATTCTAAGATGAGAGATATTATTTCTGAAAAACCTCTGTTGGAGAAACTGGATATTGGCTCTTCTTATGGTCCTTAGGTGTGTGTTAACTATGGGAGGAGAAGTTTTTTGCTGCTAATAACAGAGGACATCTTCTCAACAGTTCCCTTTCCATTAATCTCCTTTGTTGACACTATTGCACTCCATATTTATTCATTTGCCGATCTATTACATCGTTGATATTTGCTTTCCATCAAATTACATCTGGAATCTTTCTGGTTGTAGTTGACTGCATGATTGACGTAGATGTCATTTGCTCTCATTCACAGGTTGACTCGGCTCAAAACTCTAAGTTTATTTTTTATCATTCATGCATGCAGGGAGACCCATTACACATATAGCGCATCTACTATCATCATTTGTAGGTAGATTAACGTGCTCATTTGCAAGCTATTGTTGCCTGCTAGATGTGTTGCATTCTCCATCAATTTCTTCATGTATGTTGATTAACATCAGTTACAAGCAGGTCATACTCGTTATGATATTCTCAAGTATATTCTATTGGTTGGTTATCGTCCCTTTTGGAAATCAACTATCACTTTCACTAATAGTTCCATTCACCACTACTTTCTAGCCTCTTTATGTAGACTCAAGGACCAACTAACATGAACATTACAAGTTCAATGTCATTTAAATCATTCCTTCAACAGATCAACTTACTTATTAGGAGATTTTCCAATGAATCAGCATTGTCATTGTGTGTTGTCTATATCCACTCATATGTAGCCTATTGTATTCAGCATTCGTCAGGTACCTCTTTTTATATGTGTATGCAGTATGCATACTTCTCATAAGATAGCCAGCATTTGTGATATACATGGCATCTTCTCAACATTTCCCTTGCAAATTATTTACAAATAAGTCACATTCACTATGAGTTTCATTTAGATGACCGGGGTCACTTGTCAACATTTGCATTTGTCATGTTCCCTGTCGTTCAAATTGTAAATTTATGTTATTGTCATTTGATTCAATCAAGTTCAAGTCAGGTCCTTGTTCGTTTGGGTTCAAATCATGTTGAATTCAAGTTCGTCAATTTTCACATTGAGTTCATATCTGAGTCCGATTTGAGTTCATGTCCATTGTAGTCTTGTTCAATGCGGTTTCATATCTTTTATGATTCATTCAAATTCCTTGGTGCATCATCCAACTTGAATTCTTATGGATCATTCAATCTAAATTGAGTATAGTTCATTGTCATTTAATTGAGATCAAGCTCATGCCCATTACACTTGGTTCAATTAAGTTTGAGTTCTTTTTGTTTAAAGTCAATTTTACTTAGATTTGAGTTCATTTATATCCTTTATATCCAGTTCGAGTCCAAGCTCACAAGTCCAATATTGTCCAAATGTTATTCAAATTAGGTCCTCTGTTAATTTGTCAAGTCCTTGTACGTTTTTTACGAAATTTCGGTAGCCTTCCGGTGTCTCCCCAAATTGGGAAAATTTTCAGGAGTTTAGGCCTCCAGCCACGCTAGATAAAAGCGTGCATGGTTGGTATCGTGGGACATCGCAGCCGTAGTCTTCGTTCCCCGCCACACTAGAGAAAGACGTGCATGGGTCTTTGGACACCTATTTAGAAAAAGTAGTTTTTATATTCATCCCCGCTTCATCTGAGGCGTTGCACCGGGTTTCCATCCCATCATGTTAGAGAAAAGCGTCCATGGGTTGGTTTTCTGGTGCGCTGCTAACGTCAAAAATGGAGTTTTAGTAGGTTGCCCACCTCGTCGCAAGCATCGCAACGAATTCCCTCCCACTACACTAGACAAAAGTGTGCATAAGTGGTTGTTCGTCGCGTTGTAAGTGTCAAAATGGGGTTTCAAAGTTTTAGAATTTTATACCTGCGTGGTGGCTGGTGACGACGGTGTTGGGGCGCGCAAATCAAGGCACTCTTTTTTTATAATTAATATAATTAATTATAATTAAAAAATTATTATAGTTAATTTATAACTAACTACAACTAATTATTGTAAATAATAATTAATTATAATAAAACAAAAATATTTAATGATTTAACAACAATAATATCAAGCCTTTATCCCACAACATGGGGTCGGCTACATGAATCATTTTTCTCTATTATGTCCTATTAAAAGTCAAATTTTCATTTAAATCTAATAAAGAAAGATCATTTCTAATATTTTATAACCAAGTCTTTTTAGGTCAATCTCTACCTTTCTTAAAATTATAATTAATTTAATTATAACTAATTTTATGATGAAAAATAATTAATTATAATTAGAAATAATTGATTATAATATGTCTTTAATTAATTATAATCAAAAGTAATTAATTATAATTAAAATAAGAATAATAATAACAGGATTTAAATCTCAAGCAAATTAAATCCTCGGTTTCCTCTTTTTGCGTAAACAGGGCAATTTGGCAACAGGATTTATGCATGAATTGAGGAGGATTTATGCTAAATCCTGCCAAATGGGATTTGATCGCCCCACAAATCTCGCAGCCGAATAACATGCGCTCAAAGTATGTTTTCATTTGCCAGAATATAAAAGACCTAAAGATACTAATTAAACCAAAACCCCTAATTATTACATATATCATTGAGTGGTCAGCCATCCCATTGAACAATTCTGCATGTTACAGATTGGATAGAAAGAAAATATAGGAAAGAGTAATTAACACCATCAAATAGCGTTTTATTTCAACCAAAGAGAGATTCCACAAAGTTGATCACATCCTGTTCCATTTCCCCAACAAAAGAAAAAACAAAAGAAAATTCAATTCAAGTGAATGAGAAACTGTGACCTTGAAATGAATTTAAAGATGTAAAGATAGCTTGAAGGAGTTCTTGATATCAAATGAAAATCTCCAATTGAATCAATACTTAAGTTGAAAGAGAAATTGAGTTCAAATGTATCTATACCTCTAGACCTTCCAATTAGAGGACACTCCAGTAAGGTTACTCATTCCGGTCTAATCAAACTTAATATCAAATAAAAAAAAAAAAGCAGGCTAAGACAAAAAAGAGAAAAACTATGACCTTAAAGATTATTAACAATTTGGAGGACTACTACCAACCAATAAGGCAACCTTTTCAGGTTTACAGATTTTATGTCCAAATTCTAGATTGTCAAAAAAAATTTGTAGATGAAGGGGAGGAATATACAGAATCCTTTCCAATTGGAACATATTGAGTCATTTCGGTGAATCAAATGTTTGCTGGCATACTTCTTCTAGAATCAATAGCAGTGGTTGAGCAATTACAGTTCCTATAAGCATAAAAGTGCATAAATAAAGTCAAATGATCTACCTCAACAAAAAGAGGAGACCTTAACAAAAAAAGAAATGTATCTCATCTAATGACGTTGTAGACGAACAATAGTTCAAAGAATTAATGCTTTCTTCATGAGAACGAGTAAGAATACACAATAGCATCGCAGAAATAACACATGAAATAGGGTGCTGATTCTGAACCTTTAAACCAATCTTCTAATTTGATGGGGAATGATTCTAAAGGATCTGCTTCCCTAAATAAATCTGATACAAACAAATAAATCTAGGTGCCATCGAGAAGCAAATGAATATTACCGTATCAACAAAACAAGGAATCATCAAATAAAGACTATGAAAAAGATATCATGATCAATGAAGAAATTATTCCAAAATTTCAAAAAATAAATCTATCTCAAGGGAGTAGACTATAATATCTTATTCAATTTGCGAAAGATTCTTGCATAGGTCAGCATGTATGAAATTCTTTTAATGTCAAGACATATTTCAGAAACTTCAACTCAAGCTATCAAAAAATCAGAGAAATATGAAAAAAAAAATACTAAACATTGTCTTATTGAAGTTCTGAGAGCCTAAAATGAACCAATCAATATATAACTTAAATTAAAGAACACATGATTGCAGACACAAAAAGCTTATTAAAGTAGGCTTTATTCGAGAAGAGAAATAGACCAATTATATAGTGAATATTGTGTGAATGCGAAATTGTCAAATGGTCAAATTCGCATTTATATTGACTTTCAGGGAAGTTTTAACGAAATTAAGTTCCAAGGTAAATTTTGGGAAGATAGATGGGTTTCTAGATAAGACACTACCCAGAGATTTCGCCGTCATTTTGCGAGGACTTTATGATCTGAGTTCTAGTTTCCTATAGGCGCAAGCCCCTGTGGGCTCCGAAAATTCGGCCCCGGCCTCCCCGCCGCATTTCTTTGCTTTTTATTTTGGGGAGGGGAGTTTTAACGGAATAAGTTCCGGGGTAAATTTTGGAAGGCAGATGGGTTTGTAGATAAGACACTACCCAGAGATTTCGCCCTTATTTTGTGAGGACTTTATGATTTTTGTTCTGGTTTCCTATAGACGCAAGCCCTTATAGTTAATTACCCCTCTCGATCACGAGAGAGAACTTTCGATTAAGGCTAGTCATCGATCAGATACGTTGTATCTATAGATACGTAGTATCAGGCATATAGTAGCAGCAATGATTGGATTTGGAAATTTAGAAAATTTGACGGGTTTGGATGTTTGGGAATTTGAAGGGTTTGATATTTAAAACTTGAAATTGCACCATCTCACACTTAAAGCGGATGGTGGGGGAATGGATGATGACCCGATCAAGATCCCATGGTTCCGTCGTCCCGGGCGATCGTGGTCCCTGGTCAGTAGTCAACCCAACCTGACAGAAGGATCCTTGTCGGTAGCCATGGGTTGCTTCGTCTAAGGGGACCTTGTAGACCTGGGTTGAATGTTTGTCTAAGGGGACAAATTTGAATCTACCTTAGCTAACAGAGGGCTTTGTTCCCTATCAATCATATCTTATTAATTCATATCTCAAGGATTTGATATCATTAAAGAGCGTATTGGCTCTGCCAATAACCGATATTTGTGGTGCCATTTGGCGGCAAAACATCTCGGTTCAGAGGGCCCCAGGTCATAACCGTTTATCCTGCGGTGCCATTTGGTGGCAGACCGCCAGTTAGAGGACACGTACCACGTCCTTATTGGCAGAATATTTATTGAGAATAGATCCTAGTGATATTTTCGACTAGACATTTGGCTCTTTGTGAGCTGAAGTAATTTTTAGATTTGTCCACCTCGGCAAACTGTTGCGGATGGTGGATGAATTTTGCTTTAAGTGATTGATGGTTTGATTTCAATTTTAAATATCTTGGAATTTTAGGATTTTGAGTGGCATTTTTGGAGTTTTGGAATTTGAATGAACCCCTCCGGTTGCGATAAACATTCAACACGGCCATCATCGGGGTGTTTGGGGTCATTTTCCTTTGTTGATTGAACCTTGTCAACTTAGACAAGCTATTGACTGAGGATCGGGTTTCATAGGCTTCATGCATTTGTTTATGAATTTTCTTTGTTGAAAGCCTTGAAGGCCGAATATGAATGTATACAATAAATATCCCGGTCAACTTCGTGACCGCATATTTATCCGATATCTCGAACCCTGTCTACTCCTATTTATCTACTTGGTAGGATTGGGTTTCGTAGGCTTCATGCCTTTGTTTGTGAATTTTCTTGATTGTAGGCCTTGAAGGCCTAATATGAATGTATTGAAACAAATACATCGGTCCCCACAACCATGTATTTGATTGAAGGTTCGAACCCTGTCGACTTTTATTGATCTGTATAAAAGAATCAGGTTCGAACTAGAATTCACTTATCGATCAGCGCAACATCCCTAGGCTTCACATGTGTACAATTAATACGCTCGCTGAGGCCCATGCGAGTGATTTTTATATTGATTTAGACATACCCCATTGTGCACCTATGTATATACAAACTATAGTGCAGGTGCAGGGGTACTTTGAAGTATTTGTATATGTGTAGATAACTATCGTTTGGATGCACACAACATTTCATTTGAGAGCTTATACACGCCTTTTGTAGGATCCGGTGGCGTGCGTTGTAGATTATAGACGCCTTCTGTTTGCTTTCAAAAGTGTTGCAGATCCGGTGGCGTGCGTTGTAGATTGTAGATGCCTTCTGTCTGCTTTCATAAGTGTTGCAGATCTGGTGGCATCGTTATTTGGATGTCATGAGGTATTTCCTCATCTTGACATTGACTCCCCTTTCTCAATCACCAGGGACGGGGCTTTCTGGATTTTGGGGTCAATGACCACAGATCTGGAAAGAACTCCTTTTAGGATCTTCGGTGTAATGGACTTGTTATTTTCGGTGTTGTGGCGCACCCGAACTGTTCTCTTCTTAATTATAGAACTAAAAAGAGACTTTGGAACGCTAGGAAGTTTGGTTCTAATTTGTTCAAATATTTCCTCTCTTCTGCCAGGGGGTGTCCTTTTTCGTACATCGGGTTGCCTTTATACCCGGTATACTGACAGCACTTTGATCACCACTGTCGTAGGTGATGCTTGTACTTGTGCCCATAGTGGTTCGTTGTACTTACGATGTATCCACTGTTGTTATCCACAAACATTCATTTGTAGAGAATCGTTGTATCCACTACGACCTCCTAGAAGTATTCGTAGGAGGGCCGTTATTGTCTTCATCATATCCACCTTTTATCAATCTCAGGTGGGCGTTGATTGTACTTGTGCCCACAGTGGTTCGTTGTGCCTACGAGGTACCCACTGTTGTTATCCACAAGTAGGTTGTATTTGTTTGCAATGACCCATTGCATTTGCTACGACCTCTTAGAAGTATTCGTAGGAGAGTCATTGTTCTTGCATCCTACCCACCTTTCACCAATCTCAGGTGGTAGTTTTGATGTATTTGCATTTGTTTATAGGAACGGATCCTTGATTGCTACATATGGGTAGCGCTCGTACACCTTACAACTATCTGGCTTGCAAACGTAGTACATTGACTTTGTAAGGATTGTCGTAAGAGTTCGTTGCATTGTGTATGGCGAATGTTGAATGAACTCCACTCGTCACTGGTTCCTTCAAACATTTCGATCCCTATTGCTTGTAGGATTCAGTAGATTTAGCTGCATCTTGATTGTATGTTTGTAGCAGATGTTCATGACTACTTGCATGTAGATGAGCCATATTGAGTGTCACAAATCTTTTAATTTCTCAATTAGAGGAAGAAAAGTGATGCTTGAATAACCAGGGATTCTTTATTTTGATTGTTCAAGCCTCTGGTAGTCTGACCTTAGTTCAAGTCATTTACCATTCGCGTCCGGGTCCGATTCAACGTCATTTGCTCAAGCTTGTTTTGAGTTGATTTCACATTCAAGACATGGTTCATTGAGCTTCGAACTCTAGTAATTTTGAAAATCCAATGTCTTGTTACTTTGGTTAGAGTTTAAATTAGGTCTTTTACTTGCATTTATCCAAACTTTGAGTCCAAGCATAGTTCAGACTCAAAATGAGCCTCTTCCACCTGTCCGAGTCCCCTGTAGTTACATTGAGTTCACTCAGATTTGAGTCGAATGGCTACAAGTTCAAGTGCACGAGTTCTTGTTGTCCACATCGTATCCCAGTTTGAGTTCAAAGTACATGTTCAAATGATTGTCCAGGGTCCTCTGAAGTTCTGCAGGTTCAATTTCACTTGATATGAATTTAATTCCAGTTTGATTTTATTTCTTTTGATTTTGACCCTTAGAAATCATTTAGAATTTTGTTCAGATTTAGGTCCACAAGTTCACTATTTTTCGTACAAGTTCTCTGCACATTTAGTTCAAGTTTTGTGCATTTTTGTTCAAGTACATGTCCTCTGTTGTCCTTCGTATTGCTGCTCAAATGATGTCTTTATATTGTTCAGGCTTTGTGTATTTCAGTGAAAATTTCGACAACACCTCGACATATCCCCCATTTGGGGGAAAGTAGGGGAGCTGGGCCTTCCCACCACGCTACTCGAGCATGTATGGTAGGTGTCCTTAGACACCGCGGCCGTAGTAATTATCATCCCACCACGCTACAAGAGCGTGTATGGAGCCTTCAGCAGTACCCGTACTAGAACACTAGTAGCTCTCCCCACCATGCTACAAGAGCGTGTATAGGGCTTACCCACCTCGCCATATGCGTCACACCGGGCTCCCTCCTACCGTGCTACAAGAGCGCGTATAGGTGGTTTTCCGGTCCGCCGCAAACACCGAGAATGAGATTTGGAACATCATACCTTTGCGTAGCAGTCGTTGGCGCCGATGTCGATGTCGAGGACCGTCCCCACCACGCTACAAGAGCGTGTATAGGGCTTACCCGCCTCGTCACACCTATCGCATCGGATTCCCCCCCACCGTGACGATCCTCGACCTTGGAGCGCGTATAGGGGGTCCACCAGC